GATCCTATTGTCTGTAGAGCCTTGCTTTTAGCAAATGAATGAAAGTCATGCCTCAGACTTCTGTAATACTCCCTATAATTTAGGTGTATAATGAATCGGCTCTCATGGCCATCAGATGTGCTGGCGTAGGAACATGGCCTGCCACCATCCCATTTATCCAATTACTGTCACCCGTATCCACAGCATGTAGTTTTGCAAATTAAGGAGATTTGTTAACAAATCAACCCTTATTTTTTAGCCACTCTAATAAGGACGAGTCTTCACTGGCGTCTTTTAATGAATTAAAAAATCTGGTGCCATCTACTTTGTCGCGGAGCAGCAAATTGTTAGTTATCTTTTTAGACAGCAGCAAAATATACCAAATCTCTCCAAAGGGATTCATAATCGCACTACACGTTAGTATCTGTTCTCCAATAAACATCATTAGGTATGATCTTCATTCCTACGCGCTATGAAAAAACCGTTTGGAGTAGTGCTGACATGCAATTATTAATGCCGAGCCAACATTTGCCCTACGTACTTTTCACTTCAGTTTCCTAATCTAATTAACACAGCAAAAAACGAGCAACTAGCCTTTACTTCTAAATCGGCTTCCAAAACATCTTATGTCCCACTGAAAGCTCGGGTGCCAGTATTTGTAAGCATCGTAAAGTCATCTCATCACATCGACAGAGGCAAGAAACACAATGGTGTTCTACGAACACCCCGGCTTCCAGTGACTACGGTGAGAAAGGGAGGGTGTGGCAGACCCCATAAGTAACGACAGCCATAATTCTTATCCATTGGTTTTATTTGTCTTGCTCTCCCCCGAATTAAAGGAAGGAAAACACCTGTGTTCAAATTTATAAATAGTGAGGTACAGCAATCTCTCAAGAGGTGAAGGATTCCCTATTCCACGGCAACCAACAAAATCTCACCATCTGCATATGACCAGGTGAAAGTTCTATAACTAGCATTTTACTTCACAGTTTCTTACGCCTAACCTAGGGAAATGACAACTGCAGCCAAGTAATACC